CTACGATGCCGGCGAAACGCTTGAGAAGGTACCAAGTTCACGGTCTGACATTGGGAATTATGATAACTTCCATAGCAGAGGAATTCGGACAAGGTGAGTCCAACTAAGTCTCCCTGACAAGATAAAGTTGCGAAAACGAGGTCAACCCACTTCACTAAGTCCTTATCTATTGCAAATAATGATTAGATCGGGAATCGGCAATATAAACAAAAAAGAAGACGACTAGATCAAAGATGTTTTTTGTTCAGGAAAAGAAGGCAGCACAATCGCAAATCAAGATGAGTCAAGACAAATATCGAAACTCTAACCATATACGAAGAACAAGATAAGTCGTTTATAGTGAATCTAATCAGATCAAATAAACAGCTACAGCATTTACGAGGCTCGAACACATAGGACTAGTGAGTAAAAGAGTCATAGATTGTCAATATGGGTAGAAGCTCATGTTCACTTTATCAGAACTCCACTCAAGAAATGCGGTGTAGACCAGAGACAGTTGTCTCGCATTATACGCGTCTTATCATGGAAGTAGTCAATGAGGTAAAATCCTGACAACTATATTTCCACGGTACGCAGGCATAACCGAAATAATGGAAGATGCAGTCCATCATCCAGCTTGAGAATCCAAGCTTTGGAGGCCTGCTCGGTTAGGCTACAGAGACAACTGCCTCTGGTCTCCATTGCATTTCTTGAATGAGGTTCTGGTCGATTGGCCTCGCGTTTCTACCCATACTACTAATTTATGACTTTCCCCCTCCAACAAACTTTATTAGGCCTCACTAAGTCTTTATAAAAGGGCACATCTCTGGAATAGGAAAAATAAATGAATTATGATAGTGGAGGAGATACGAATGCATTGAATAGGTGAATGTACCTGGATATAAAGAGAAGTGTCACAAATATTCAGCAGCAAGTTGGTCAAGAAATGAAATTTACTTCTTTCCTGAATGAGTTGTAGCTTGGTGCTAAGCATTGCAAGACACACTGACAATGCCGACTAAGATACCAGCGGACGTTGAAACTTTTAATAACCACTATGACAGAGGACTTCGGACAAAGGGCCTTCATCTGGGTCGCCCTGTCAATACAAACAAGTTGCGAAAACAAGCTTGAACCATTACTATGCAGTGAAAGGAGACTGAAAACAAATTAAATTTGTCTTTATACCTCCAAAAATTCTGTTTATTTACACGAATTTCATGGTTGACTTTGCTTAAGTCTTAGAGCAGTATGAATGCAGATGATACATTGCTACAATTTCTATAATCATATTTTCCTATATTTTGTTTTACCAATATTTTAAAACATTTCTGACTAAAAAGGCTCCTATTCAGATAGAACAATACCGCTATTTTCGAAGATTAAACATTTAAAAAACGCTCAGGGGGTGATCAGTTTGCGAAATCAAGAGACATACTTAAGTTGCTACTTTGTAGTTCACGAGATTAAAGCATGGCATTTTATACAGTTAGGCATCATAGCTTTCAGTCAAAAAAATATTCGTTCAATTAAATAGCGTATGCAAAAAATAGCCAAAGTAAGACAACTTTCAGGATTTATCATAGCAAAAATAAATAATTAGAAATCCGTTTTTAAAGAGGGCACGAGTAATTTCAATGCATACTATAGCAATCTCGCACAATTTATTTCATGCTGGAAAGATTTGTAACCCTTGTAGGATAGCATAAAAACAGTAATAATCGTTTATCATGAGAAGTAGAAGCAAAGCTCACAAGCTAAGACATAGCCCAATACAAAGCTAAATTCAAAAAATATCTAATATAATAGCAACCTAGTTAATGTATATACCTATTATATTCTATATCCTCTGATCGGAATTTTTGACGATACTCTTTGTATATTATTATAATTACCTACAGTGACCGTACAAGCATAAACATAGATACGAAAATCAAGATGTCATTTATATTTTGGTAGCAGCCTCCTTTCGATATATTTTAGCTGTTCTGCATTGTTTTCGCAACTTGGTCATATTAACAGTAGTCCATGATATGCATAATAATTTACAGAGTCGGACCGTAGAATTGGTTCATTCCTAGACGTTCGATGGCATCGTTATAGGCATCGTCATTGAATCTTATAAAAGCATAGAGTCCAAGGTCTTTATAGCAGCTGCATAACTATTTGAACATAGAGCTTAATTAAGAAGGCGAACTTGAAAACCTTGAAGTATACTGAGCTGTTGAATATGTAGAAATAAGGAAATTGGAAGATATTTAAGTAGCTTATGGCATAGCTTTAAGGCTTAACATAATTTACTACTAATTAGTTAGGATAAGAAACAAAAATACTAGAAACTCCCATCACACGGATAAATGTAATAGAATATATTTTATCAGAATAATTTTGCAAAAAGCAAAATAGGAAATAGACTTGGTTTTTAAAATTTGCGGAATAAACATTTATTAGTCAGTGAATAAAGTTTCTTTTTTCATATTGTAAACAAGACTTCAAGGACAGCGTAAATTATAAGTCACGTTGCTGCAAATGTGTGCATATTTCACAAGAAAGCCATAGTATTTGTCGAAGGTTTAAATGGAGACAAAAAAGGCAATACAAGCCAAATCTATCATTTATTCGTAATATAAGAAACCTCATAAGGTAGCTAATTTAGAGTAACAATCTTGTGTTAACGCCACATATCCTCTGGTTTTTGATTTTCGGGACCAGCATATTCATTTTATATTTGTAAGTCATAATAATGATCAATTTCCTTAAAAAAAATTATATTTTGGACATTTACTACCTATAAAAGCATGGCAAAATCAGTTTACTTTTTGACTAACATACAAAATGAATAGATCATTACAAAAATTAAACTCCGCATCAATAAAAAAATAAATATTAGAAAATAGGACGCACAAGAAAAAATATATTTTTAAATAATTGGTAGGGAACATTTTTAAATTAATCAAAGGCATTTGGGGTAGCCAATGTGAATATTTTAACATAGTCATAAAAAATTACATAGATAATTTTAAAGCCTTCTTAAATAAAACATAGAGGATAACCAAAATGTATAAAAAAGCTTTTTTAGCCCTTAAATAATTAGAATCCTGATTTTGACCGAATTTTAATGCTAAGCTCGTGATAACACATTGTCTATTTAAAGAATTGCGTTTTAAATTGCCGCTAAATTAAGCAATTAATAAAATATACGTTTAATTATAATTATTTATTTTTATTATTTAATATTTTAATTATTAATTTTTTTTATGATTTAGTACTTTTACTTTGTAAAGTATGGGATTTACAAAAGGATGTTAAGTATCCGTCGCTTCGCATGAGGCCCCTCTTTACCTCCCTTCACACTGAATTATTTTCAGCATGAATGAACCTGCTAGTGATGTTGAAAATAAAACTATGTTGACTGGTTTATCGAATGCACTCACAAATAGTATATTAAAATCTAAATCATGTGATAACTATTGCATATTAAAACATGAAAATGAGACTCAAAGCCAGCCAATGAAGACCCTCTCTGTCGTCCTAGCCGGGTTTGGTAATCCATACAGAGGATTTGTTCATGTTTTAAAGTGCAAGCTGTGTGATTTTTTGACGCTAGACTTGGTTGAATTAAGGAACCATATAAATACCGATCACACATCAAACGGAGGGTTCGTAACTTTCAACTGCCCTCATTGCTCAGCCTCGTCAACTGAAAGACATTTGATAGAGCAGCATCTCAAAATTTACCACCGGCTAACCGAAGTAAGTCTTTCTACTTCCTTGTTAATCTTTTTTTCAAATAATCCTCACTAAATTTTATTCCTTTTAAAGATAACTGAGGCATTACGCTAATACTGTTTTATATATTTGGTTATTATGTTTTTAATTACTCATGCTATTATCTCATTAACTATATGTGTATATTGGTAATCTTGTGGGACTCTGTACAGACCCAGTTCGCATGAATCTAGCCTCATCCAAAATGTGAATTTATCACTCTTAGATATTAAATCCCACAATTAAACATTTATTTTTAGCCTAAAGCTGTAAGGAAACTCTCCTTAATTGTCTGAATTCATTCATGTACAATTGCACAGATTAAAGCTTCTTCTCGTCTAACATTGGTTATATTATAAGTGTTCATTTTTTTATTATAACTATACTCAGTCTTTTTTTGTACTAGCTCGTCCGGTTTAGCCTATTGATTACTTTATTTACATTCTGAGTCATGTAAAATATTAGACCTTATTAGTTTTTCACTAGAAAAATTTCCTAGTGCTGAAAACTTTTTATATAGGCAGGACACAGTTCTACTTCGGTGTTCATTTCTTCTAGGAATCCGAATGAAATTTATTTTTTTACTCGTTTTACTTGTTCTAGTCCATTTCATTTTATGCAAATCCCTCAGGCATCCACCTCTAAACTCATTGAAAGGTTCCACGATCATGGCCAGAGCTTGTGGCCGAACGAGACGGCAGAGCCAATCACATTGCTTGGCGCTGTTCCAGTCACACCATCTGCAAGAGGGAGACAGCAGGTTGACTTGGGCTCTGTAGTGGCGTCAAATTCTCTAGGCCCAAACGAAGCTTCCCTGTCTAGTTTGGTTGAACCTACTCTTTTATTAGCAAATACCAGTAGGCTTTCGAATCTTTCAGAAGGGCAGGACAAAGGCGCGGAAAACGGTAAATCTAAAGGTAAAATTGTGAATATTTTGGTATCTTATTTAAAGGCCTTTCTTTTGCTATGTCATCTTGTGAATGATGAGCTATATCAGACAGGCTATATGGTATCGTTTAATTGATTAAAGATTTGGCTCAATTTGCTATGGGCTTTTGGATTTGGAGATTGACTATCTTTGCTTTGGGTAGCAATTTCCTAAAAGCATTTGAAGTGAACTTTACTAGTCTGTCTTAATTGCATAGGTTGCATGAATCAGAACCGACCCACTCTAAGCTCATTTTTCTATTGCTTTTAAGACTCCATCGCACTTTAGCTTTCACTACCCGTGGCCAAGGAGGAAATACGGTTATTTGACAATGTTGGACAAGTGAACTCGTATTGTCTTAAAGGTTTCCATTTGCTTCCATTCATTCGATGTCTTGCATCATCTTATCATGACTTTTAAAGTCGAATTTTTTGAAAATATAATCGCCTTGTCGACTTACCTTGCCGAGTATTCTGCGGGATGTCTGTAAACATTGATTGTTCCTGATGTTAGTGTCCGTTAGAACTAAATTGGGATTAACTGACGATCAGTTTGTTGTAGTATAACTTAATATGTTCCTTACAGTTGAATTTTTGCTAATACCAAAAATGCCACTGTGTTCTTCCAGTCCTGGTTCATTTCTAAGGATTTATATGAATTAGCACATTCAAAATATGCAAAGATTAGTTACACTATGGACAACAACTTTATAGCATCTCTTAAACAAACCTGAACTAAACCCCTTCGAAACGAGTGGAGAACTTATATTCGTTAAATCAAATTAAAGTTCATGAACTTTTCCCACTTTGTCGAGCTTCTCTGTCCAAAGAATTTCCGGATTCCCGTAATTCAAAATTCATTAGGTTCCTTAGCTCACGAGTTGTTATTGAGATCGTAAGATGCTCAGTCGAATTTCCAAATCTAAAAATAAAATGGACTGAGATTTTTTTATTACTAGATACTTATTACCATAATCATTAATTAGAAAGTCAGAGTATCGATCAACCTTCACACATCCAAGCGCTCTTTGACCTACCATCCTTGATGTAAATATCATTAACTCCGTTATTTTTATCAATGGCATTCATTTGTAGCGATGATCCCATTAAGATTGTATCCATACTTTTATTCTAGACACCGATTCTGAAATAGCTCAAAACTTAAAAGACGCGAAAACAACTATGGAATTTGCTGCCACGTCTGCTGGGGATTCCGAGTCGAGGCCTGGTCATTTGGTGGACGTGGAGGGTGATCCAGAACGTGAGACTGATTTCATAGGTCCAAGGATCGAGTTAGAGGGTGGTCCAGTGGCTGAGCACATTGAGGCCCTCGTGGTTGCCGAAATCAAATCGATTAGTGGATCTCGACGACGCAAAGCAACTACGCCTGTAAGTTAGCGCCCGAACCTGTGAAGGTCACAGCGCTTCACTAACCTTTTCAAAACTTCTTGCCTTCAGCTTAAATATCTGTACATATTCTTCTGTTTATTCTTTCACCTCTATCTTAAGGCCCATTTATGCTTCTGGTGGTAAAGGCATGTGTATCGCTGAATGTTAGGATATATTAACTGTCATAAATGCATGAATTAAAGCCTACAAGAACGAGCCCGTTAGATAGAATGCAGGGTGAATGGCGTATAGTGTGAGAGAGAGACTGAAGTACTATCAGACAGGCTAAGATGTAACTGAATATATGAAGACCAAGATGTTGTGGCCTTTGGTGTGGTCGCAGTCTCGTTTCGATTGAT